TCTCTAATATATTTATTATATAAAAAATAAATATTAGGTGAAATTTATATTATCATATTAAATCAAATCTGGTTTCGATCAGTACGGATATGAAAATTTCAAAATAAATTTAAAAATTTATCAATAAAAACAATGAAGTGTCTCTTTGTGCGGTTTATTTGTGTATTGTATTCTATTTGAAAGTCCTCGATTAGTCCGGGATATTTCTGTAATTATATACATATGCATATTTTTATATAAGTTATTATATTATGTTATTATGAAGAAAAAAAGGTTGCAGTCAATAGTTTCTATGAAGTTTATTTGTTATTATAAAAACACATTGGATTCAAAGTTTTTTGATGGGATTAACTTAACATTTTTGCATATGCTTATCCGGTTTGATTCTTTAATCTCATTTTTCCTTCGGACGTCTAAAATGTAGTAGTTTCCTATTCAGAGGGCAGCATAGAGGCTGGATTAGATTTAACAAGTTTAGCAAGATTTCTCTCATATCCCGCTGTTGGCGTAAAAGCTCAAGTTTTAGTGGCGGCGCTTCCAACAACACTGGCTCTACGTGTGTGGTGTAAGGATCATCTCATCATGAAACCCAGACGTGTTGCCGCTCCATCTTTAATTATATCCCAACAAGACCGAAGATCCAAAAAAAAAATATATATCATGATAAAAATGAACGAGAACTGAACATTCCACTTTTTTTTTTAAAAAGGAAATATAATCAAAGGCCTTATGAAACGAAGCTTTTTTTCCGTAATATAATAAACAACATCGCAAAATTTATTTCATTAATTATACAAACGAGATAAAATGTCGGAGCTCTAAGCCTGTTCTTCCTGCATTGAACGCCCGCGGTCAAATATAAATATATAAGCATTTATTCTCTCTGACGTATAATGCCGAGGGAAGGAAGGATGGAAGGAGGAGACACGGTAAAAAGAACGAACAGGAGAAGGAAGAAAGAATTACGAACAAAAGGATGAGTCTTTGCTGTGTGGTCCTCCCCCTTCCTCACAGCGTGCAGACATTTATTTTGCGGCTTTAAAGAGATCATAAAATTTTCGGATGGTTTAATGCGAATCTCTCGGAAATTTAATGCTACCCGAGTGTTTTATTGCGGTCAGATTTGTATTAGGCAAAATGTTAAGTAAAATATTAGTTTTTTGTAGTTGTCTCACGCAAAATGTGCGGCAGGTGTGTCTGCGTTGCTTGCAACCCTTCGGGTCGAATGAGAGGGTGGAATGGGTCGATCTATGTGTGCGGAGGGATGCGACGGGGATCGTCATTCACCTTTGGCTCCGACCCCAGACTGGGGTTTTATTGCGTTCGCTATACGAATCCGACGTTTAATTTTCTTCAGGTCTCCTGCGGCCCGGCAACATAAATGGAAATTGCCTCCCTTACTTTATAGTTTGTTATTGTTTAAGAGAGATACCAGAGGAACAAATGTTTTCCGGACCTACGTTATAATAGTTTGAAGTTGTGGGCTTTCCACTTGATTTATTGTTACATTATGCCGTGCCCTAATAGCAACAGTAGGTTGTATAATGTATGAATTCACCTTATACATATGAACACGCACTTGCAAGAAACTATACTAATTATTACAAACAAGTGATTTATAAAGTTTTACTATAACAACATTTTTTATGTAAATAATATACATACCAATTAACGTTAATCAGATTTTATGTTCGTGAGGATATTAAACTCGATGCTAATTGTTGCTAATTTCAAATATTAAAATATTATAATAATATATAAAGTAATTAAAACTAAATTCACAATTATATGTTATAAGTTATGTAATATTGGTTATGATACTTAAGAAGTATTATTTTACAAGTTTTGTGCAACACTACAATAAAATAAATTGCATTTGCTTGTTTATAGATATTTGCTCCAAATGGGTTTTGATCATCTTAGGGTCCTAAGTCTGCGCCACTTATTGGGCATTGATATTAATTATGTTGCCAGCACGCATTTTGGGTTGGAGGCGCCCCAAGGAAGCGATGTTTTCCCATAAAACATTTACTATTATTGGTTTTACTTGGGTGATGCGGGGGCGGCTAAGGCAGCGGCGAATTAAAGGGCGGATATATGGGACTACAGTAAATGTGACGTAATGGCGGTAGTAAATAGAGAGGGAGGGTAGGTCTCGCTTAGGCAGTGATTATATGTCCGGCTTACTAATGTACACACACGAACATATACACATAGAAACTCTCCTACATAGCGGAATCGTCTGCTTGCCAACCATAAAGAATGGTTAGATGGCTGTTCCAGGTTTGGCGGTTAACTCACCGACTTTATGGAATTCTCGGCCCATTACCGCCACCGTTATTATGAATTATTTGATATTACCACGGTCTGCAGTCGACCAGTGCAGTCCACCTGCAAATATCGTCTTTCCTCGTGTTCCATGTTCTACATTGCACATACACACACATTGCAAATCTCTGGGCATCATGAAAAATTGTGATCCTTCCGATTCCCCGATGCCAATGGAAGAAGGAATGCAACAAAGCATTGATTCCGAAACCCCCAAACCGGATATAACCACCGATTTCCCTTTAATATGCGCCAGCGATTTGAATAATAAATTTCGGATGCACGTGCATTTCCTTAAATTCATATCGTAATTTAATTTCATATTAACTTTGCAAAAGCAATCGGATCGCCCATCCGTATGGGAAGACACCACGCCCAACTTAATAGCATAGTAATATATTTTACATTTCATTACCATTCCATAATATAATATATTTCAAGAAATACTTATATCCATTTATAAATGAGAAATTTTGGAGTTTTTAAAAAATCGCATTTAAATTATTTTTGTTACAACATAATTTCGTATTTTATACAGTACACAAATGAAAAGAAACAACTATTTTAACTAAGAAATAATACGTTTTCAATGTTTTCAATGAAATTTAATTAATTTCGTCTTCATTATATTTGTCTTTGTTGCCA